TTAATATTAACAAGAATATTATGGGGGGATGAGGAGGGAAATGGGAGAAGGGGAGGAGGTGGAAATTTTTAATAATAATAATAATAAAAAAATCCAGTACAAAAAAAGAATATTATGCACGTCTGGGCCAGCCTGATGTTGAATTTTAGCTATTCTTGTTAATTATTATCTAAATATTATATGTCACTCAGCACATCTGTTAAGTCTCCTTCCTCATTTGTTCCCTTCTTTATCTTTATATATTTTTGAGTTTAATGAAACAGTCCAAGGCCATCCTGAATTTCTACCCAGAGACACTGAATAGCCAACAAATACATTGAGTCACGGGTCAGAATTCCCTACTGGATGCATGTGTTGGCTGTCAGAGCACTGTGATTCAGATTTCTATGTGGGAGATGGAAAACAAAATACTGGTTTGACCTTCACAAAGGAAACAGCATGTGGTTCCAATTAAACATCGGGGATAATCAGGGCTTGGTTTCATCATAGGCGTGTCTATGTGTAACTTACCATCAGCATCAGGCTTCGGATCATTAGACAACTTCCAGTGTTCAATTTGTAGCCATGTGCCTTTGTGTTTACACTTCTCATGGGCTATTAGATCAAGAGGAGCACCGAAGGTAAGACAGAACCTCCTGAGTTTAAGAAAAACGACTCGATAAATTATATTCTCCTGAACCCCAGACGTTATTTTTGATTCAAAATTTTATCTAGTACTGCATTATGTGATTTTATTGCTCAGAAATTTATTTTTTAAAAGAAATGAGTAAGGAAATTTGTATATGCCTAGGCATTTCATGCTGTGGGAAATATCTGCAAATAAAGATACCAAAAAATTCTCTTATGTCCTAAATTTTAAAGAAAATTAACACTGCAAACATTTATTAATTCCTTAAAAACATTCTAAGACTTCAGGTGTGAAACTTGAAAGATCATGAGCGACTTTTTTCTGATTTTAATAACTTAACATATAGAATAAATGCCAAGTTACAAGCATGCCATCTTTGAATTGATTTAACAGGTCATTTTCATGCACACAATGTTAATTGAAAGTGTGTATCGTACATTAAATGACATCATATGTAAGAAAGAAGACATATGCTTGTAGTAAATATTGCCAGATATCATAATAAGCTTCATACACTATCTATACATCATCCACTTTAGGTGGAACCATCAATTTAAATACAATCATTTTAGAAGTTAATGATAAATATAAGTAACACCTTTGGGGATCAATTTAGATAAAGAAGAAAGGGCAAAGGTCAAAGAGAACCAAAGGCTGTTTCCCCAGCAGCTTTGATAACTAACATACAGAGTGAAGTTGGGATAAAGGTGAAAAGAAGAAATTCAGATTTTGATATAAAGAGTGTTCCACAGACAGGTGGGTATGCCCACTGGGTGATGGGACACGAGTCACACAGTTGATTATCTGCATAATAGAGGACCGTGTCACCTCAATGCAGAAAGATGGGCCACTGGATCAGAAGGGGGAGACTTTGTTGCCCTGCTACATCTGAGTTTGTAGCCCCTCTTTTTCATTTGTTTTAAATTTTAATTATCATTGGTGTGGGTATGTGTATGTTTTCTGTACACAAATACAAACACAGGTGTGCCATGGAATAGTTGTGGAGGGCACAGGACAAATTTTAAAAATCTGTCCTTTCTTTCCATTGCGTGAGTTTTGGAGGCCAACATGAGGTTCTCAAGTTTAGTGACAAGTGCCTTTACCCATGGAGTCACCTTACTATCTCCAGATGTTTTCGTCCTTTGCATCCTTATCTCCCTGGCTCGTGCAGCTGCTTCCCTCGTGCCTCCTTTAAACATCTGAAACACTAATTTTCACTGGTCCTGCAATTATTTCATTCTGCTCTGAGAACTAGCCACATATACCCTTATTATCTCCTACATACAGCCATCATGACAAGGTCCTATAGATAGTATTTGGTGACCAATAAATGGTCATCTCTATTGCCTAGAGTCTTATAAATATCTCCATAAAATTTTGCTCTTTTATTGTTAAGAAACTTCTTTTTTCTCAATTTCAACATCTTACCAACTTCAGACTACTTCAGGACTGACTTTGAAATATAAATGGGCAGCCCTTGATCAGGTACTATCTTCTATTCAAGACACTACTGCACACCATTGCATATCACTCGCTGCAGAAAACAGAAGTGCCTATTTCTTATTTCAGGGTAAGTTTATGGAGGTGAGATTCTACAGAGAATTAGGGTGACCATAGTACAACATGATGAATCTAATTCCAATTGGTGTTGGAGGCTGAACTTCACATCATGGTCTAGTTACAAAAAATACACCCAAAAGAGTGAATAAGAAAAGAACCAAGTAGGCTCTGACTGTTGGGAGTCTTGGCCATTTCTGTAGCCATATGGAATGAAGGATTTGAGTTCAATTGTCCTTGGAATGGGTGAAGGATATTCTTTTTAATATTACTAAAGTTCTATGATCTCTCTGCAATAATCACACCCATAGGTTATGGAGTGTGTGTAAAGAGGAAAACATTTACTTAAAGAACCTAACAGAATGGGGTATATTCCCTCAAGTTCTCTAAGGGGCAACTGTGTTCTTTTTGCTAGACTTCCACAAATACATTGGACAAAGGATTTTCATTGTCATAAAAAATCAATGAATCATTCTGCCCTGGATTCCCTCCAACCCCTGAAATACCATGAGTAGGACATTTAAATCTTTGCAATTCTCTTGGGATTTTGGTCTTCAGATTCCTACCAGAATTATATATTGTATGTTCTGTTTAAAGAATTCTCAACCTTCTCTAGAAGAACCTCCAAACTCTTCCACCTTCATAAAACCAGTTCCAAAGGAGTGAGGTCACGTGTTCAGGTAAATCACAGCAATGACCCCATTCCATGGAGGAGATTTTCTTTGTAACTTTTACTTTAAGAAGGCACGTGTGTATATCAATGTGGATAATACATGCTATTGTGCACATACATGGAAATTAGATGATGTATCTGGGAAGTCAATTCTCTCCTTCAACCATATCTGGCTAGATTCTGTTCATGGCTGAGAAACTTACTAACAGTAAACCAAAACTGATCTATTTGGTGGAGGAAATCTCACGATAGCACAGTGTTCAGGCTGTAGCACATCTATGCCTACTGCTCTCATTCAGATCTCTAGTGAGAAGGAAAAGAAACATGAAAATGTGAGGTTTGGTGGAGAAAGTATAGGGGAAGGGGAGGAGAGCACACAGCAGGTGGCTGATTATGGGTTAAAAGTTATATGCTTGGGTGTCAGGTTGGCAAGTAAACTTATGATGGTTAATACTGGTGGTCACCTTGACAGGTATAGAATTGTGAAAGAGCTAGAATAGTCTAAGAAATGGTGTGGGAAGTCCTTCTGTCTATGTTTTGCTTTTATTGGTTAACAAATAAAGCTGTTTCAGCCAGTGGCTTAGCAGAATATAGCCAGGATGGAAGACCTATATATAGAGAGAGTAGGCAGAGTCAGGGAGGAGCCATGTAGCCACCCCCAGGAGGAAGATGACTTCTCCTGAGCCCACCAGAACCTTGCCAGTAAGCCACAGCCATTGGCTTACTGGCAATTACTATGTGATGATACATAGATTAATAGAAATGGGTTAATTTAAGATATAAGAGTTAGCCAAAAATATACTTAAGCTATTGGCCATACAGTATTGTAATTAATACAGATTTCTGTGTGGTTATTTTGATTCTGGGCAGCTGGGAACAAACAAGCAGCCTCTGCCAACAAAAAAAATAAATTTTTAGGCATGTCTGTGAATGACTAGGGTTAACTGCATAGGGAAAACCAACCCAAAATGCAGCACTGTTCAAAGGTCTAGGGTGCTAAATGGGGTAATTATAAGAGAGTGAGCTGACATCCATCTCTCTTTACTCTCTGCATACAATGCGATGTAACCAGTTATAACAGGGGCCTTCCATGATGCCTTGCCTCAAACTAGAAACCATAGTAAGATTTTCCTTCCTTCAGTTGACCTTTTCATAAATTGAGTAGAAATTATTCAAGACATTAAAAAGGTTGCTATTTATCAGTAAAAATGTTATTGTGTATATTAGAACTCAATATAGTTATTATTAGTAGAAAATAATTAAACCATTTAATAGAAACCCATGTAAACATTAGAAATTAAATAACAAAAAATACAAAAATGGTGCACATGGTAAAACAGAAAAAAGTCCTTGAACCTTATTTTTCGATGCACCTGTCTTATGTTTCTCTAATGAGACCTTCTTAGCATTCCAGAAGCATCTCCTGCTGTGGTATTTGGAGCACAGCATCATCAATGTGATTTCCAAATCTTGGACTCAAATGTAGCTGCAATTTGGTATTTCATTCTGTATGAATAGCAAGTATCTATGTGTAACTCCATCAGGAATATCTTTATACTAAAACCTTTCTTTATCCTTAAATTTCTGTGTGTGTGGAGGGATGAGTGTGTGTGTGTGCGCCTGCATGCGCCTATGTGAATATATGCTGTTTGTGCATAAGCACATGCATTCATGTGTGTATTCATACATGTGTGTCCATGCTTTTGTTCTAGTATATATACACATGGAATCCTAGTGACCTAGAGAAAAATCAAAGTGACCAAGGCATAATGGTCTTCCCAGGTAGAATGAAAACATAACCCATGGTCATTTTAAAGACTGAAAACAGAAGTTAAACAGAAATGGGTGAGGAATCGGTGAATCCAGCTGATTTTTCTAGTCTGAGAATATGGGTGAGGGATGATTGCGAAGAAGTTAATCAAGAGCATGAGAAATGGGCAGGGAGTATTCAGTGTGCTTTAATGTGTACTTGCTCATAGTAGTTTCTTATGACCTCTTGTAGCCCTGTGAGAGCCACCATAATGGTGGTGGGAAAGACATAGTATTGGGAGCTCAAGGCAGCCAGTCAATCACACCCTCAGTCAGAAACGGGATGAGATAAGGATTGGCACTCAGCTCACTTCCTCCTTCTATTCTATTCAGGACTACAGCCAGTGGGCTGAAGCTGCTCACAGTCAAGGTGAGTCTTTGTTGAGCTAACAACTGTGGAGACTCACTTCTGTACAGCTACACTGGAGTTCCTGCATGTTTACAGATGAACAAACATGAATTATAATATAAACACCACAAGGAAATGACCTGAGTTTCATAGCCTAAGCTATCCTCCACGTGTCAATGGTTTCAGGAAACCTATAAGCAAGTGGCCTTGTAGCCTCCCAATAAGGTTATTTGTTAGAGTTGGCAGAGCCACAGAGATTTCAGTTATGCAACATGGTTGAGGACATATTGTTATGAATAGAGAATGAATCAACAAAGACCAAAGCATATGCCCAAAATAAGGGAAATAGGACCAGAACGAATGGCAGTGCTTCGCTAGTGAGGAAGGTGAATGCAAAATCAAATAATGGAAAATTCCTATGAAACATTTAAACCACCTGTTTCTGCAAAAAATTTGTAGATAGCTTTAACTTGGAGACTGAATCAAATTAATATCAGTATACCCAACAATACCATCTTCAGCTCACCATGAAAATTAATATCAGTATACCCAACAATACCATCTTCAGTGCACCAAGAAAATTTTAAAGCAACTCCCTAGAGGATATTATTTTAAGAGTTTGATTTTTGTTTATTTTAATTTCCTTTATTTTAATTGTGAGTATATGGGTGTATCTGTATGAGGGCAGGCACATGTAAGTAGAGGATCCCACAGAGGTACGAGGTGACAAATCTGCTGGGGCTGGAGTTACAGACAGTTATTGCAAGCCTCCCAACATAGGTGCAGGGAAGTGGACTGGAGTACTCTGGGGAAACAGTAGGTGCTCTTAATCACTGTAGCCATCGCTCAAGCCACCCTGAAAGATGCTGCCATGTAATGTAGATGGATGTGCATTCCATATAACGTAGATAGACGTAGGTTAAATACAAACTGCAGCCATTCTGAGCTCATCTAATCTCCGGTTCTCAACACATTAGCTGTGTCACAGGAAGAGTCTTGATTCACACAACCAAAGAAAGAACGGAGATGCTAATTAGCTATGGTCACAGGCTTCATTTCCCCCAACTTTTTTCAAAAGACAGTTAATTATGACTCACTGGTACTCGTTAATGTAATTAGATGAAATTTTAGATTTATTTCTAACCAGGCCATGATTATGCTTTTGTGGAAAGGCATCTTTTTTCAATTCTGCCTCTGCAATAGCTGAAAGGGTCTTAGACAATGCAGCAAATGGATGTAATTTCCTTACTCCAACTCCTTTTCTTTGTCATCCCATTGGACCTACCATCATGCAGATACGGCTGTCCTTTCCTCTGGATGACCGTGTTTGTCTACCACTTGCAATTTTAAATAAACCACCTCCAAAACACCACTTTTAGGTGACGCAGGTTTTCAATTCTTCTCTCAAAGGAGCACTGAGTACTTTCTAATTAAAAATGTACTTTAGGATGTGAGGGCGATCTGGCTGTGCACTCTGTCGTGCTGTTGCTCACCAGGGTTAATGCAACTGAACACCTGACTAGGCAGGGATCCTTTCCACTAATTCAGGAAACCCTGCCTAAAAATGGTGCTACCCACAGTGATGTGGCCATACAGCATCAATTAATATAAAACAGTCCGCACACAAACATGCCCACAGGTCAACCCAACATAAACAATTTCTCATGGAGACTCTCCTCCAAGCTGATACTAGGTTGTATCAAGTGGACAATCGAAGCTAACCTTGACACCAGCATAAACTGTGTAGGTAACTTACAGGATATTCTGGATATGTGGCAAGACCCTGTCACAAAACAACCAAAAGGAAAAAAGAAAGTAAAACAAAAGAAGAGTAAAAATAAAAAGGAATAATTTGGGTCAAACTTATTTCTTTGCCTCTGATAAAATTACTGCTGAACACTGAGAGTTGATACTTCCATAAATGAATTTATGCATTTTAAAATTTAGATAAGTCTCATTCACCAAATGACTGGGGGACTAAAAAATTATATGTACTGCCTTTGAGGAGGTCTCATACATCAATAAGACTGAAAAAAGCATAATAACACAGTTTTATGTACCATCCCATAAACCCCTCGTGGATCTGAGCATCACAAGGGCCTTGAGACACAATGCCCTCCACCTGACCCACTGCCACAGCCTTCCCTGCCAAGCTCTACTCTAGCTACCAGCAAGATCACCTAGTTAGCAAACTCTAACTAATGTAATAGTTCCTCCAACTTTTTAATTTTGTGTGTATCTCCAAAGCAGATGCATGTTTTAATAAGAGTCTTTTTGTTGTTTTCTTTTTTTTAATTAATAGGACTGGTTCACCTCTGTTCACAATTTTAACACACTCAAAGCCAAAAAGATAAGTCTAAAGGATCTTTGGAGATCTGTAATAAAATATTACAACTTTTCTCACAAATAATATCACAGAAAATAATTTTCACAAGAGTAATAAAGCACCAGGTTAATCACACAGTCTCACTCCGTACCAGACTCACAATGCAGTCAACTCATTACATTTTAGCTTGTATATACAGGACACTCGCCCTACTCAATATTCATGTAAACCTAAAGATACTGTTTAGACATGGAAAGTTCATAGGGGAGAGTTCTTCCCCACAGCTGCTCACGTTCTGGTCAGTAATGAGCTTTTCTATTGTACTACTGGGCTCTGCTGGTTTGCGTGTTTGGCTGACTTCATCTGGAATGGCCACATCACATCAGCAGCCCTTGTCTGCATGCTACCCTATGCTGAAATGGCTTTAGAACGTTTTCCATCACCCCCACCCCCAATTACTACTGCTGAATGCTTCTAAACCAGCTAGACCTGAAGTTCCACCAAAGCAGAAATTCAATCCACTTTACCTCTAAGTCACCTCCCCACCCCTCATGCACTTCAGAATCTGGAACAAAAGAGATGCTGGGACTGGGACAGAGTCGTGGAGTGCTGCCTAGTGTGCAAGGAGCCTGGGGTTCAATCCCAGAATAGGAGGGGTCAAGTTTATACATTTAAAATGTTGATTTTTTTCAACTTTTTGATAAAAAAGTATAGCCCAAAACATATTAGAAAAAAATTTCACAGACCAAGAATAAAGAAAATATCCAAAGGGTTTTCATGAAGTGTGTTAACAGTCACACTGAAAAATCAGGAATGCTTTCTTTCTATTAGGAAATCTTTTTTTTTTTTCAGATATACCAGTAGTTAAGATGGTATAGCAGCCAAAGTGGTCATAGCTGACATGTAATGCCTATAAAAGTCTAAATAAAAATAATAGGCTACCTATCAAACATAAAGATTCATTTACAGCAGAGATTCGTGGCTAATTGCCATGAATAGCATCTGCAATACTGTCACCTGGGAGATGAGGCAAGATTAGGAGTTCAAGGTTATCCTTGCCTACACATGAAATTCTGTACCAGACTGGCCAACATGGGGCTGTACATCAAAACAGAGTAAAATAGTTTAAATGGAATAAAGATATGATCAGAACAAAAAAAGGCCATGAGTTTTCCTGTGCCCTTTCTTTCACAAAGCAATAAAGAACAAAATCCATTTGAGGAAAGGTCAGGGGTTGAGGAGACAACTCAGTCAGTGAAGCGCTTGCCTCACACTATGGCACACATTTAGAACCCATGTGGAACTGTGGGGCATGTTGGTGTGCTCACCTAAGCCCAGAGTGTGAGAAGGTGACAGAAGGGTTTTAGGGTGCCTTTGTCCTAAATGTCTAGCAATTGCCAGGTCAATGACAGAGACTGTCTCAAAGGAGACAATTCAGTCCTTCTAAGGATGACTCTTGAAATTGTCCTTGGGCCTACACATGTATGCACTCAAAACCACACTTAAACATGTTCACACACAATAAACAAACAAACCCTGTGTACCAATGTACAACTAGAAGTCTCTAACTCCTGATAAACACACGTTCAGATGTGAAATCGTTGGTTTCATGTCTTTACTACCCCCACTTCTTTATAAGTGGCTTCTATTGTCTTTTTAAGATAGATATAGATATAGATATAGATATAGATATAGATATAGATATAGATATAGATATAGATATAGATATAGATATAGATATAGTGTTTTTGTCCTTGAGAATTTCATGAATGCTTACAATGTGCTTTGATCAAATCCATCCTCCACTCCCTCCCTTCCAGCTCTTCCCAGACTCCCCTCACATCATGTGTTCTCTCCAAACTTCCTATAATCTTTTCAAAACCCACAGTCCATTTAGTTTTCCATTGTATGTGCTTTTTAGAAAATAATTTTTACAGTGGTATTACAAACTATTTCTGAGCGTCCATAGTATTGAGAGAGTGGTTATAATGCCCCCATTTCTCTAGCATTCTCTTTGCATATAAGCATGCTTTATTGCTATTTCTTAAACCATTTTTAAAAATGTCACTTCCTTACCATCATACTTAATAGTTGAAAATGTCACTTACATTTCATAAAAATGGAAAGTCCAAACGTCTGCTTTCCCCGATGCACCATTAACCCCATAAAGGCAGTCAGTGTGTGCTGTGCTAATATTTGCCCAAGTGTTAATGTGATGATGGCCCACCTGCCCTGGCTGCCTATGAAGCACTTTCCAGCCATAGGATGAAAATTAATGACAGAGCCTCCCCGGTGACAGAGCTAAGCAAGGCGAGGGGCATATAAAAGACAGCTTGCCAGTTGCCAAGCCGTGCATGCAGACTTGGGCTGTGGCTCCTGAACCTTCTGGCTGTCGAGGCATTTTCTGATATTGCCAACACTGATCGTTAAAGGTAAGGAACATTCTGTGCTTGGAAAGATGGTATTAACTGAAAGAAAAGCAATCTTTGTGCTACCTGTAGGGATTGCTTTAAAAAGACGGTAAAAGAATAGTGCGTTATAAAAGAAATCGTAATGTTGTTTTTAAAAGGAACTTGGACATTTTGAAACTATTTCAAAGTTGGCGAGCATCAGTAAAAAATAACAGAAGACCTTGTAAACTGCACTTTAGAGTTTCTTTGATGGTTCTAATTTTAATACGGCTTCGATCGGAACTGAAGAAAGTAGCTTGAGTTCAATGTCGCTCTCTTCTCAGGGACCTTGAGAAGCGATGCGCATCTCCAAACTGCCGGCTGCTCTCCTCATCCTTTCTGTGGCACTAAACCACCTGAAAGCTGCACCCGTCAGAAGGTTGGTAACCTAAAAATCTCAACTTTGTTTGAAAAGCGTGGGGAAATTAGAATTGCAATCGTAATGTTCAATTTTTAAGCCAGTCCTTCTACGAGCAGTACTTGAAGCTGAATGGGTTCCTAATTTTGCGTTCTTTAAGGGCAAAATCAGTGACTGAGGATTGACTGGTAGAACTTCTTATAGTTGGGTATGGATGGCGACATTTGTCTGGAAGCTCATTAGAACCTACAGGGGCAAAGCCAGAGTAAGACGCCAGGAAAACTGACAGGCAGACAGACATTCCTACTGTTTGAAACCAGTACTGAAAGAAACTGAAGTAGGATCGAAACCCCGTGCCATTGTCCTTGGCTTCTCATCAGCCCTCATTGTTCGCCATGATCAGAGAATCCGGTTTTATCCCATGCTTTTTCAGTCACAGTCCAGCTGGCCTTGGTGAGTTCCCAATAGATCAGCCCCACTGTCTCAGTGGGTGGGTGCACCCCTCGTGGTCCTGACATCCTTGCTCTGAGCCTAGCCAGTTTGGACGTTCACCTTCCTAGACATGGACGGAGGGGGGAGGACCTTGGACTTTCCACAGGGCAGGGAACCCTGACTGCAATTTGGACTGGAGAGGGAGAGGGAGAGGAGTGGGGGGAGGGGGAGGGGAGGGGGGAGGGGAGGGGGAGGAGGGGGAGGGAAATGGGAGGCTGGGAGGAGGCGGAAACTTTTTTTTCCTTTTCTCAATAAAAAAATAATTTAAATTAAAAAAAAAAGAAACTGAAGGGATTGAACAAGGCAATGCTTTTTATGTCAGCTGGAACTTGGGTGCATATTTAAACTGCCTCTTTTTCCTTTTCAAATGAGTCTGGGAGTGTCCAAACTTCTGCATCTCCTTCTGGAAATTGAAACCATAAAATGGGAGGGAAATGAGAGGTTTTAAGAAGTTAAATTTCAGAATTAGTTAAAAAGTCATTTGCTCGTTGAAGGTCATTCCATGCCGTGGTGATATAGAATTATAAGAAGTTCGAATGTGCGCGTCATTCAGTTTTGCTCCATATAATCTTAGGAAACCAAACTTACCCACACTCGTGGACAGCACAAAAAATTAAATTTGCCTTAGAAAAGCATGTGAAGTATCATTATCATCTCTTTTTATTCTCTAGAGTATGTGTTTTGGGTGAAGGTCGGTGTCAGTGTGCAGACATGTTCTGCAGCACCAGCTGTGATTAATACCAGGAAACAACAAAGATAGTTTTTATCATCTCAAGACTTACCTGGTTTCACACGGTGATCACTGAACTCACTGTCGTTTTCAATTGGCCTTTTCACGGCTAAAAATAGCTATAAAGCCAATATGAGGTTTCTAATAAACAGAACAATTGAATCATGATGGAAAATTTAATGGTATTACTTAATGTGTCTGCTAGTATCTTGATTTTTTTTCTTCCAGTGTATACAGAGATTTGCTCAGCATCTCTGCCAAGTGTGTCTGTGGGTGCTCACATCTTTTACAGTGAACTTTACTCTAAAATAAAATAAATCACAGCATTACTGCCTGTCAGATTATTTTATTGTTTTCTCATAATCATTTCTCTTGTGCACACTCACAAGACATCTTTAAAATGTCTGTTAATGCACTTCTTTACATCAGTTCCCTTTTTGGTGATGGGGGATATATACATACACATACACACACACACACACACACACACACACACACACACACACACATATAACCTAGTTTGATAACTAGGAGCTCCCAGTAGTAGTTACCCACCTCTACATATGAATGTTAACGTAAACAAGCCATTAAGAAAAAATACATCAAGTGGAGGTATCTTATATTGGCTATGTCACCCTTACCCAGTATTCTAATGATTATTTTGTTGTTGCTGTTTTTCCTTTTGTTTTTCGAGACAGGGTTTTTCTGTGTAACAGCCCTAACTGTCCTGGAACTGGCTCTGTAGACCAGGTTGGCCTCGAACTCACAGAGATCCACGTGCCTCTGCCTCCTAAGTGCTGGGATTAAATGGGTGAACCACCACTGCTCACCTTCTAATGATTATTTTAAAGTCTTGTCCATGCTTTCATTGTCTTTACATGGGGGTGGGGGGATCAATGGTGCATCTGTGACACAAGCTTTAAGAACTCTTGTTGTGTCTTTCATGAGGAGTGGTGGAGTTTTCAGCTAACTCAACACGATAATGTTTCATTTAGATGACTTAAAGTGCTTTATTGCCTTCTAATCCATCCTCAAAGTCCAACTCCACTGCCTGTGAAGAACTCTACAGTCTGCTCCCATCACTGCCAAGAACATCTTCAAACAGAAATTGCCCGACACTGATAGATCATGTTCTTTTCTGTCTTAAATCTATCAGTTTTCAGTTTCAGAGCAAATTCTAATCCCAGATGATTTTTAGGAAAGTCATATTATTTAAAATTTCATATCTTGTGTTGGAAACATGAGCAAACCTCTTTAAAGTATTAAGTGATTTATTTGAAATACAGTGTTTATGTATGCTATGCCCTCAAAGAACAAATAATATCCTTATGATGAATACAGAACAAAAATGTAGATTTCACTGTGTGTAGTGACACACACTTGTATATCCAGCCCTAGAGAGTAGAGGCAGGAAGATGATGCTGGATTAAGGTTAAAAAGTTGTAATTTGCTTCAAAACATTAAAACAAACACCCGGATCCCACAGTGGCCCTCCTTTGGCTACTGACTGTTTCTTTATTGTATATTTACACAAAACAAATAGTCAGGTCATTTGATGTTAATGAAAAAGTTTTCTGTAGTTGGGGGAAATACAGCAGTAAGAAGGGAAAATAATTTTAAAAATTCATGTAAAACTTTAGTTTTAGGGGACCACTGTGTAGAGGCAATGATGATCCAACACTCCCACCCACAAAGTCTTCACAAAGAAGCACTCATTGCATTGGTCCTCATTATGTATTATCTACAGAGTCTTGGGCATTGATTCTATTTTTAGCCCCATAACTTTTACTTTCCACTTTACATGTTTCTAAATCTTAATAGTAATGGAGCTGAAAACTAAAACATTTCCTAATGTATTCTAAAACTCAACAGAATAGGCAGTGTTACTATTCTATATCCATTTAAAATAACATTTTGAAAGCATTTTGATAAAGTTTATTTTTGAAGTATATTTCAAAGCCCCAAGTCTTAAAAGTTTGGTCCCTGAACCATACCTGGGAAAGAGGTAGTAGAAACTTTGAGAAAGAGGCAGAGCTGGACATGGGAGGCATTGAACTTGTGCCTGCCAAGGAAGTTTGGGAACATAATTTATTCTTCTCCTCTTTTTGGTTACTTCCTGGTTACCATGCAGTTACCAGCTTGCTTCATCTCTCAATTACCTACTGTGATATGTGTTCTTAATATGCAAAGTGACAGGAACAAATGACCCTGGCCTGAGCCCTCAAAATTTCAAGACCAAATGTCTCTCCTGTTTTTACATTGATTTACTTCAGGTGTTTTTATACAAGCAGAAAGCTGACCAACAGAGACATGAGATATTCCAAGAGTATAGAGTCGAAATAAATAAATAAATAAATGCCTCAAGTAGGGGCACAAATCCAGGTGCAGTGGTACATATCTGTAACCCCAACACTTCGGGGAAGTGGGGTAATCATGAGTTGGAGGCCAGACTGGACTACATGGCTTGGCTCAAAAATAACTAAATGAATAAATAAATAAAAGGTCAAAATTCAAGTGAATTTTAAATCACAGTTACAATTTTTGATTTATTGCTAGTGTTATCGTTCAGCTGTTTAGGTGGCTAAAAATTTGGTGATTTTAATGCCCAATTGTTGCAGTCTAGCCCTAACATTAAAATTTTGAAAAGCAGAGTTCTACATATTCATGCCAAGCACTCCCATGGAGCAGTGAGTGCTGGGACAGTGATCAGTTCATTTTTACTGTAACTCTACAGCAACTTAGATGATCTTTTAATTGCGTACTATTATCTGTCTTTTGTTGTTTTTGTTGTTTTGGTTTTTTGTTTGTTTCTTTGTTTTCCTGAGACATGGTTTCTCTGTGTGGCTGTCCTGGAACTCACTCTGAATCCAGCAACCTTTGCCTTCCAAGTGCTGGGATTAAAGGCATGCACCACCACTGCCAGACTTTATCTGTCTTTTCAATGTCTCTATACGGTCTCTTGTACTAAGAACATTCAGTGTGAAATCTGCTCTCACAAAAAGTTTTAGCATACAAAAATCGTGTACTTCTGGCAAACTATGTACCAGTGACCTTGAGAATATATTCACCTTGCTGCCTATTGCTTAGTAACCAGGTATTTGTCCTCGCTCATTACCTGCGTTCCACTGTTTGACTCACAAATGTGACTGCGTGTGGAGTCTCACATGTGTTCACTCAATACGTAATTTCCTTTACCTGAGTTATCTGACTTTGCACAATGCCTTCAGTGTTGCATATGGCAGAATTCCTTTATGGCATCTTTTCCTTGATATTTTAATTGAGTAATCTTTAAAAACAGCAAAATATTGTTTAATTTTTGTCAAAAAGATAAAGGAAATAATTTCACCTTTAGAATCTCTATGTATCTTAGGCTAGATATAAATCATACATTCCAAATCATTTATACATCACAGAAAATAAGCCAGGCAACAAGACTTAGAAAATATAAGATGAAGAGTTTTTATTATAAGAACATGTGCCAAATATCCAAAGAGATTACTCCTTGTATTGTGAGCTGCAACACTAACTGTAGTGGAAGGTGTTGTGTGGTTTTGTGGTCAAAATTGATTCTTCTACACTTTCTAAGTGTCATAAGTGTCCAGAGTCCTGAGTGACGTCTATAAAAATACTTCCGCTCTTTTACTGCATGGAACAGTGTAAGTGGCGTGGCTGCCTCTCAACCTATTTTTTCTTGTTTGTTTAGTGGAACCAACCACCAGATGGACAAACGGAAGTGCAATACCGCAACCTGCGCCACACAACGCCTGGCAAACTTTTTGGTCCATTCCAGCAACAATCTTGGTCCTGTCCTCTCATCCACCAATGTGGGATCAAACACATACGGCAAGAGGAACACCATGGAGATTCCAAACAGGGAATCTTTGGATTTCTTACTCCTTTAGAGTCAATGTGCTTCTTCATCTCTTGTTATTTTATGTGTAAATGTTCTGGTATAATTTAATAGTGCCTTTTCCATTTCCACTATCCATGCACAATGTTGTGTCCCGTGCTTTCTGGGTGTGTGTGAATCCTCATTCTAAGAATTGCTTTAAACTGAAGACTGATCAAGTTCAGGCTGAAGGCAATGTCTCTTAACACAACAATGTGGTGATATTTCATTTGTATTTTAATAAATAAAGCTTGCCTAAAGATCAGAGAGTAAAACAGCAGTTTGACATAGAAACCAAGCGGTAGTGGTGCACACCTACAATCCTAGGCCTAGAGAGGAATATAAAATGGGAGGAAACAGCACTCAGCCTCATTCTGAGATTCCTGGAGGCAGGATCACCACTTTGGAATGAAGTAGAAGTAAGAGCCAGGGACTAACTGTTTTGTTTTTTCAACCTTCAGTTCAAGCCCCAATATCAGTCTTTGGGTTTTCAATATTTGTGCTACACAGCATGTTCTTGCAATACTTAAAACTTCTTTTTCTAACTTGTAACTTTGTGATTCAAGTTTAATAATAAAGGAGACCATAGGAACATGAAACTTGAGAAGTTATTAATGATTAGTAGCAAAGTTCTGATTTTGGACATTGGAAAAACAAATATTCTAGGTACCTGTTCAGATGTCATTTCAAAATAAATTAGCAAAATTGTTTCAGGATATTTGATCACACTGTGAACCCCAAGTTTGTGTTATTTATTGGAAAAAGCTGTTTCTAGTCGTGGTGTGGCTCAGCCCTAGCACACATCTTTAATTCCAGAGCTTTCTGTTTATTGTAAAGAGGACTAAATAAAGTCAATCATAAGTCAAGAGGTGGAGCAAGCAACCAGTTGACAGGAAGTGAACATTAAAAAACCATACAGAGTAAGAAAGAATCAGGAGGATGGATTGCGAGAGGCGCAGGAAGTAGAAGGGAGGGACATTTGGTTTGAGGGGTTTGTTGTTTGTTTTTTTGTTTTTAGACTATGTAAGAGAAAGGCCTTAGATCCTTACATTCTGGGACACTCGTGGGGGAGGAAGATCAATCAGGTGCTTGTTCTGCCTCTCTGAGCTAGCAGGCTTTCACCCCCACATCTGGCTCCTGAGTCTTTATTGGTATTGATAAAATCAAATGCTTGAGATCTAGTCAAAAACAACACAAAATCTTGCTCTGATTTAATTAATTTTTTTTTACATTCTGCTCTTTAGTGTGCTTGTTGATACCAAGCATCTGTTTTGAATGTTAAAGGTGGTTTGTGTCCATGAGGGGGTTCATTGTATTTTCTGCTGTGAGTTTTAATGACATCTATGACTTTATTTTGTTGAATAAAAAGTATCCTGTCTTCTGCTATTTATGTCTTCAACTAAAAGACCACAGATTCTTGGAACTCATGCCTGTATGTCAGCTTATTATCTTGGCCAAGTTGGGGTAGTTTCTCTACAAATGGTATGATTCTGTAAATCAATATTACAATTTACATGCTTTTACCTGACTATAAATTGGAACCACTGGAGACAATATTACCTTATATTATTTTATTAAAATGGGGTCTCACAATGGAGTCATGGATATTGTGGAATTCATTATATAGACCATAATAGCCTCAAACCCACAGAGATCTGCCTGCTTCTGCCTCCCGAGTCCTGTGATTAAAGGTGTGATCCATGACACCTGGAAATATTTCTTTAAAAGACAATAATAGGGCTGGAGAGATGGCTCAAAAGTCAAAAGCATTGATTGGTCTTCCAGAAGTCTTGAATTCAAGTCCAAGAAACCACATGGGTGGCTCACAACCATCTATGATAATATCTGATACACTCTTCCAGCATGCAGGCAGAACACTGTATATATAATAAATAATAAATATTTAAAAGACATAATTTTTTATTATTTTAGTATTTAATATACATAGGCAATGTATTATGATCACATGTATTTCTTCATTGTCTGCTCCAGTGTTCCTGAACACTCACAACACATCTCCCTCCCAACATCATGTCTTCCTTCTTTTTCTCTTAAGGCAGTTAGTTTAGACTTCCAAAGAAAACAGAAAACAAAACAGAGAATCTCATTCTTAGTGACAATCTGACTTACAGGCATGATTTGAACACTGAAATTCCCTTCATGAAGTGTGTCTTACATTACCAAATTAATTCCTTTGATATTGCTGTTAATTTTAGTGTTGAGATTAGGAAAAGATAATTATGTGAATATTATGGTTTTGGCTTCATATTTAAATTAACAAGCATTTAAATTTCTCTTTGTGATGTGCCACTATTGATCTGCCTTGAAAGTAGACTCCTCATTCCCAGCATTTCAAGAGGTGTGAGATCCAGCCTATTTCAAAATGTGCTACAATAAACTCAATAAAGTATTATTGTACATCACATCTCTATGTAACAGTATATATAGTATAAAAATAATATTATAGCCATGCAGTGGTGACACATGCCTTTTATTCAAGTACTGGGGGCAGGAGCAGAGGCAGGTGGGTCTCTGAGTTCAAGGCTAGCCTGACCTACAGTGAGTTCCAGGACAACCAGGGCTCCAGAAGAGAGAAAGGGGGGGAGGGAAGAAAAAGAAAGAAAGAAAGAAAGAAAGAAAGAAAGAGAGAGAGAGAGAGAGAGAGAGAGAGAGAGGGAGGGAGGGAGGGAGGGAGGGAGGGAAGGGAGAGAGAGAGAAAATATTATTAAACTATGTGCATATTATTAAACAATTTGTATTATATTTAGGTTTTACTTTAGTAGGGGTAATCTAGAGGAACAGATAAGATACACACACACACACACACACACACACACACACACACGTGTATTCCTGAGCCCTAACTCACTCTTTGCTTTATGGCTGCAATGAGAGAGATGAGGAACTTTTCTCTGTCACATCTTTCCACTATGATGTTTCAGCCTCACCAAACTTAGGGAAGTCTGTTGTCTTTCTTCATAGAACTATAAAATAAGTCATGAACATTTGAAAAAGAAAAAAAAAAAAGAAATCCAGAAGAAATTGAAAGGAAAGAAGAAACAGGGGTTGGAGAGATGACTCAGCAGTTCTGAGTTGCTGTTCTTACAGAGGATTCAAGTTTGGTTCTCAGCAACTATATAAAGTAGCTCACAGCAACCCAAATGCAGGAGGATATCGCTCCCTTTTCTGGCCTCCACAGGCACCTGCAGTCATGTGCATAGTCACATACATTCACAGAGTAAAATTAGTAAAAATAAATCTTTTTTTTAAAGAAGGCAATGGGATAATATCTAGGCACATTTATATCTTTGTTATATGTGTCATTGTTAATCCTCATAAAACCCTTTTATACTGGTACTTTTATGGAATAACGCGAATAACCTGACTCATGCAAAAGCCATGTAGCTAAAAGCAAAAAATAAAAAATAAATAAAATAAAACTAAGAATTACAATCCAGACACATTAAGCTCCAAGTAATTTCTATATTTTACAAACAGACAAACAGAAATGATTCTCTCGTCCTTCCATTGTGCACTGCAGCTTCTCCTTTGCGGATCTCTGCCTAGTGAGTCTCTTTCTGAACTGACCCCTAAGTCGACAAACAACAATGGTTCTAAAATACTTACTCAAACTGTGAAGAGATTCATATTGAGAATAATGGACTTTTCCCAGACACTATGAAATGGGATTTTTTTTTATAATCTTATAGTTTTAGAACCCAAACTGGAAAAAAAAAAAGTTTGAAAAACACTGAATCTAACAAACTTAGAAAATTCCAACATTGAAAGATTGCTCATAATATAAATTATCCCTTCCAAATTGTAATTATTCTGATGGTGTATATCTATAATTGTGTGTGTGTGTGTGTGTATGAGAGAGAGAGAGAGAGAGAGAGAGAGAGAGAGAGAGAGAGAGAGAGAGAGGTGGTGAACATATGTGTGTGTGTAAGTGTGAGCACACACCTGCTGCAGTACATGTGTGGGTGTCAGAGGATAATGTTGGTGTCAGTCTCCACCTTCTGCCTTGTTTGAGGCTAATCCGTCTGTTTGCTGGGTCCCTCAGTACAAATGGACGGCTTATAGGGATTCAGTTCCCTCCTCTTCCCATCCGACCACAGGAGTTCTGGGAGTACAGAAGCGACTGTCCAGCTCTGCACTGGTCCTGAGGACTCACACTCAGCTGGGGTTGAAATTTCTTCACCCACTGAGCCCTCTCACCAGCATTGTATACATTTTGCTATTGAGATTGCTCTTTCTGTGCTTAATATAAAACTGGAAAAACTTTCTTTTCTGAGTCAATGACAACTTTGATGCTATAAATGCTACCCTCAGGCACCTGACTTCTGTCCCTTTCACACCTCAAACATGGTATACCGCCACCCTCTGACTCACATGTTCTGGTCACTCAAAAGAGCTTTTCCACCTCTGGAATATGCTCAGTTGTACACAAATGCTACACATTATGTGTATGTGGAACCTCTCCTGGTCCATTCAACACTCCCTTCAATTCCAAGTTAACTGCTCAGTCATTGACAACTGTATATGGAGCTTGCTTTTGTATTTGATACTATCATGGTGATTATGACTTCAAAACTACCTTGGAGAAGTCCACAGTTTCTAACCTATATTTTGATCATTACACTGAGTTGTCATTGCTCTGTCTATCCTGCAAAATTCCTGGAGTCAGAGCTAGATGAGAGCTATCTATAGTCTTCACAATATTTAAGTTTATTATTTTCACAAAATAAGTGTTTGGTGCATATTGGTAGAATTACTGTCATCTGTGATAGATGAGTGAATAAATGCAGAAATGCATTTTGGTAGAACAATAATGCTGTACAGTACAGTGAAGTTTTAAAAAGTGTAACTTTTTTACATTCTCTTTCTAAAACAAAGGTAGCAATGCCTTCCTCAAACATTTTATTAAGGATTAGGACTAAAATAAAGTACATAGCATGTCTTTTGTGTTTAATCAGCAATGGCTATTTTAGCCACGATGACTGTTGAAACAAAGGGTAGGGTGGCTTGGCATTGCGGAGTGAACTTCTGTGGCTGAAGAATGGAAACCTGATAAAGGTCGCAGCCTAACTGGGCATAAAATAATATTGGAGAAAACCCCAAAGATAAACAAAGAGAGAAACAGAATGACAATAATCCACCTCCCACCAGATCGCTTCCTGCCCCAAGAGCCAAGTGACACAAAGACCTCTGCGCTGTACAATTACATCTAGAATTACAAAAATTTGACAGAACCTTATAAGATCCAGGCTCTGCAAATCCACCTGCTTCCCTGTGAGAACATTCCTGCTGTTCTCTAGAACAAAGGCTAGGATCCCCAATCCTAGCCCTGAAAATCCTCATTATAAGCAGATTAGAAGAGTAGGAGGACACAATTTAAGTTGGTAGAAATTTTACCACATGCCTTGACTACTCTTCTTCGGGCTGTGATAAAATACCCTGATATAAGGCACTTGTGAAAGTGAGAGCTTGTTTATATTTGCAGGAGTCAAAACAGCTGGAGCTTATAGCCGCTAGTCATGTGACTGATCACATGGCATCGGCAGTAGGAGGCAGTAGGAGTACTGGACGCTTGTGTTCAGCTCTTTTTCTCCTGCTTTTTCTATAGTCAAGGACCCCATCTTAGTTAGGGTTTCTAAGGCAGTGGCGAAATCATGACCTAAAGCAACTTGGGGGGAAAAGGTTTTGTTTCAGTTACTTTTCCACATCACCATCCATCATGAAGGAAGTCCGGACAGGAGGAACTCAAACTGGGCAGGAACCTGGAGGCAGGAGCTGATGCAGAGGCCATGGAGGAGTGTTGTTTACAGGCTTGCTCCTCGTGATTTGCTCAGCCTGCTTTCTTATAGAACTAGGACCACCAGTCCAGGAGTTGGCCCACCCACCATTGGCTGGACCCTCCTACACTAATCACTAGTTAAGAAAATGTTACAGCTGAATTGTATGGAACTGTTTTCTCAATTAAGGTTGTCCTTCTCGCAGATGACTCTAGCTTGCGTCAAGTTGATATAAAAACCTAACCAGCATACCATCCAAGGAATTTGGGTGGGTCTTCCCACTTCAACTAATCTAGTCGAGATAATCCCCCACAAGCATGCAGAGGCTGAACTTCCAGGTCTTCTTAGATCTCATTAAGTTGACACCTGAGATCACACCACATACATAACAAACTGCTCACAACTTAAGCTTATTTTAAGTTAGCTCCATGATCAGGCACTATAAAAAGGGAAACTGAGTCCATCAAACATGTGAAGCTAATTTTATGTATGTGTGTATTGTTGTGCATGTGTATTTCAGTCTGTGGATAGATGATAAATAGACAGACAAATGACAGATAGGTTGGGAGGGCTTCCAGTGGATACTA